CACGACAGGATGCTAAGACCGATATATCACTGCTTGCTCAACAAGTACAGATTTCAAGAAAGTGACCATGGAAAACCATGGTACCAACAAAGTCTACCATCTGCAGTGATTGAGAATGAGAAGGCAAAGATATACTGGAACGTGCCCTACTACCTTGAAACGCCACCAGAAAATGGAGCAAATAAACCCGACGTGATTGTCTATGATAAAGAAGACAATACCTGGACATTACTTGAAGGGACAGTCTGCCAAGTAGATAAAATCTTAGATCGATCAAATGAAAAACAAACAAAGTACACAGAATTACGCGCAGGCATCAAAAGGGAGCATAAAAGTAAAGAAGTGAACCAAATTAATATCGTTTTCGACTTTCTTGGAGGACACCACGAACAACTACGCAAGGACTTGAGACCAATTACGAACACTGACATGGAACTGAACTATCTTATTGAACGCTGTCAGAAATGGATTTTGAGTCAGAATGCAAATATTGTAAAGAAGTTCTATGAATATGTTAACTGAAAAAGGGAATATGAAAAAGATGTAATTAACTAGCTTAGATCTAAGGTCCGCTGGTTAATGTAATAATGAAACAAAGAAATGTCAATAAAATCTGCCATAATAATAACAAATCTGAAACAGAAGGGTTTATCATTGCTGCACAAGACCAGTGTATCAAGACCAACTACTATAGGAATAAGATCTTAAAAGATGGAACAGACCCAATGTGTARGATATGTGGMAAAAAYCAAGARACTATAGACCATCTTGTTTCTGGCTGCTCAGAATTGGCCAAAACAGAGTATATTCATAGGCATAACAAAGCTGCAGCATACCTCCACTGGGCAATTTGTAAGCACTATAATATTGAGGTCAAAGATAAGTATTATGAACATGAACCATCAATTGTAGAAGACAATGAAGAAGCTACTATATTGTGGGATATGCCAATACAAACAGACAGGGGAATAAAGGCCAAGAGACCCGATATAGTGGTGAAGAATAAGAAAGAGATAACCTGCTTGCTTATTGATATGTCTATTCCAACTGAGAGAAACACCTCYGTAAAAACAACAGAAAAATTATCTAAATACAAAGATCTTGAAATAGAAATTCAAAGAATGTGGGGTATGAAGACCACAACAATACCTGTGGTAATAGGTGCTCTCGGTCTAATCAAGAAAGGGATGGAAAAATATGTCAAGCAGATCCAAGGTAACATCAGGGTACAGGAAATACAGAAGGTTGCTCTCCTTGGCACTGCTCATATAATAAGGAGGGCACTGTCAATCAAATAAACCATACACCCCCTCATAGATGCCCCAAGTCCAGCACAGGCGTCCCAGGCTGGTATCTTGTGGCTTATTAATGGCGCGAGCGTTCAGTGGTTCGAATCACGGCCGAAACGATTTAAATTTTTTTTTCTATTTTTTTTTTCTTCACAAAATGGATCCTTATGTAGTTACGATATTTTTTCTGAATAAAATTTTAATTTTAAAGCTGTTTTTATATTTTCTCCCCCCACGTAAGAAAAAATTACAAGGCAGGGGTGTTCAGCACGGCCAGCGCCAACTGCCTCTGGTCATCGCGGTCAAAACGCACTTTCTCTTTCGGCAATCAACCCGAATCGCCGTCCAGCTTGCGATCAAATACCTATTCTTCCTTGGGTTAAAATTTCACCCTCCAGTGAGAATTATTTCTCGAGGTATTTCGCTCACAACATCAAAGTAATGCAGCCTACCATCGTACGGTACTTTCTTCGAAGACACCAACGGAATTGCCTCGCTTTCGTGAGTACAAGTAACCGACTATGTACCTCGGGGACAGGCTGGTCTTGCTATATATTTCAAATTTGCCGTTACTGTAAGTTGTAGGTTGAGTTAAATTCACCGGTAAGTTTATTATGTTTTTGAACTAAAATGAAACCACTGCAAAAGAGATCAAAGTTGAGTCCCGTTCTAGAGTGGCAGATATGGTAAGTTGAACATTTTGGAAGTTATTATTCAGTAGTAAAGTAGTAATAAGGCCGCTTCACGAGAAAATATAAAG